CCTTACACCCTTACCTGCTGATGTAACAGAATTTTGTCGGGCTGGATACTACAAGGACAATGTTCTATTTCAGGTACAACGTAAAACGTAACAACAATGCCATACAGAACGGCATGCAAATAGCAAACAATATCCTCAATAAATTATTCGTCTAACCCTGACTCACTTGAGACGTCAATTTGACTCATACCGGTCAATTTTATGGGAACGTACACCATTTACCTTTACCTTTGAAAGGTTCAAATTTAAAACGTGAAATTTGCAACATTTGTAAAACCTTAGAATTTCTTGACAGGCGGTATGGGAAACGATTTCCTTGTCAAGTTCATTTTACAGTCGAAATAAGTTTCTCGAAATGAAAACTGAGGTAATTATAAAAGAAACCCTTTAACATTCATGCAAATATAATTCCTTTTAAGGGTTGAAAAGTCACTTGGGCATTGATATGGGTAGAATAATTAGTACCTACTTAAATATTAAGAAATTTTCAAAAAACTCAAAGCAATTTCTCAATTACTGAATTGGAAGATCCGCCTTAGATTCGAGTCGACTTTCTTTTAACTTGTGGTCAGTATCTAGTATTTATTAATATACTTTATGCAATAATTTGAGAAACTACGAGTGGTCAAAATCAACTTCTTAATTGAAGGTATTCTTTTCTTTTATCGACTCTATTTGAAAGGGGTTCGTCTGAGATTTTTAAAATTTTAAAGAAAACCCTATCTTAAACTCTAGGCGCGTTGTATTTAAAATTCTATTAGTTTTAAACATTTGTCCTTCAATAATTTTATTATTTATTAGATTGACTTTTATATTTGAAAATCGAAAACGCGTCTATTCACACTGAATGCCAAAAATTTAATGTTGTATTAAAAAAAAAACGTGTGTGTTGATGTTTTTCGATTACATTAAATTGTAAAAATTGTTACAAATGTCGGTAAATACCGGACTATGTAAATTCCATAAATATATTGTAATTCATACAATATCACGTTTGTGAAATAAAGCAACAAATTGAAATTTATACAACAGTGAGCAAATTAGCAAACTAAATGTAATTGTTACGAACCTTATAAATATTAAAATACCTATAATATAAATAATAATAATAACATTACACATTCGTCGGTATGTTTATATGAAATCAATAAGACATTGTGTTGTCCAATAATTTTTCGGAATATCTCGAAATAATTAAAAGACATTTTATAATAATTATAATACTCGATTTAATATGCAATAGCTAGAGTATTAGACACATGCCGAGAGTCGAACGGAATCTTAAATTTTTTCACTTTATATTTAAGTCCTATTTCTCATTTTAGAATCATGCAAACATGAAAATAAACAAATTAAAAATTTGCTTGTGTATATTAGTAAAGTAACTAACTTCCTCCGACGTTTTCTTCGTATCCAATTTTTTTACACTGCAATACCAACATCATCATAACTTCGAATTCGTTTGACATATATTGACGTTTTATTTGTCTGTGTTATGATTGAGTAAACCGTGTGACATTAGGAAAGAGTTTAGAAATTATCTACCTTCACTTACTATTTTTCTAAAGTTGTCAATTAACTAACATCAAACATTGATGGGTTCTCCCTAAAGTAACATATTGTATAATATCTTAGCGTACCTTTTATTTCTAGTAGTAATTTTTATATTTTTTTTATTATTAATTTCTAATACTATATATGTGATAGGTAAAGATACTGAAATTGAATCGTAAGAAAAGCTAATTCAAATGAAATAGAAATTTAACCTTCTAAAAGTCATATAAACGATCCTTATCAAGATAAATTTTTCTATTTTTCAGTTTATTTTCAGATTCCTGCGGAATAACCATAAAATAAAATTGTATAATAGCATTAATTGGATACGTTTATACTTGACTACTTATATTAAAACCTGTTTCTTAATAAATGTTCAATCGGTCACATCTACCTGCTACTTTGGTGGGTAAATAACAAAGTTCACGTATTATAATTTAATAAATACGAATCTCAAGATGTTACTTCAAGAATATTCATTTTTTCGTTTGTTTGTTTTTGGTACTACATTAACGAACTAGGTTAAGATAAGCTAAAGAAGTTGGACTTAATATTCCAATAGAAGCTACAATACAACTTTACTCGTTACCTACCTATACCTACGTTAACAAATTTTAATTAAATATTATATGTAGACAACTATCCCTTTTTTGA